CACACACACACACACACACACACACACACACACACACACACACACACTAGCTCATCTGTTTTCCAAGCATGGATGGTGTTGGGGTCTAAAAGATATGTGGCATTAGCACAGTGCTCATCACATTGTACGTGCTTAATAAATGCCTGTTAGTTGATTGATTGGATGGTGCCCATGGGGGCTACTTATAGTGAGGTTTTTCCTCACTAGTACCCATGACCTAGTTCTGTATCCATGCTGGGTAAGGTAAGCCAATGTGTCATCCACTACACCCTTGGCTTCAAAGTGATTGAGCAAAAATTCCAAGGCCAAGCATTCGTTTACATCTCCACTCAAAATAGTCACAGCCTTGAAAGGAGGCCAGAGGCTGTAGGCTTGTTTACATCCCTAAAGGGACTAGTGAAAAACCTCTGAGCAAAGCAGGTTACTATAAAAAGTACGAAAAGAAGAGCTGGGCCCTCTGTGAGAAATTGGAACAAAGCTAGCAGTCTCTTCTCTGAACCTAGCTATCTGACAAAGGAGATACTCCTAGATGTCAACAGAACGGAAGCTCCTTGAGGGCAAGGCAGTATGGTGTAATGGATGAAAGGATGGCTTTGGAGTCAGAAAGACCCAGGTTCAAATCCTGCCTCTGAAACATGCTAGTTGTGTGCTTTTTGACCAATTACATCATCTCTTAGTGTCTTACTCAATTCTCCAAGAATATCAACTTGAGAGGTGTTTCTAAATTGCATCAATGGAGGAAGTCTCCACACTAGGAATTTCCTATAATGATGCAATCATAGAACTGACAAAAAAATCATGTATTCCAGAAACAATCAACCAATGGGATCACTTTTGATTGAAAACCTTCTTTCTAAATGTGTGTCCAAAGGGCAGGCGGTTAGTCCATTCTCCAAACCTGACCAAGTTGGCCTCTGTCAGTTGGGCCCATGGCCCTCTGCTGCTCACTTACCAAACATACATGAGGATGATGGTGCGCCAGCGCAGGACTGGATGTGTCACGAGGTTGAGAACCCCAGGTGCTGAGACTTGGCTTTTCTCTGACCCTCCAAGGGGTTTCAATTTTATCCTCAGCCCCTCTTTTCCATTACCACAAGCTATGTAGTGCATTATGGCCTCGGCTTTTTCCACGGCCCCTTGGGAATGCAGCCACCTTGGTGATTCAGGGAGCAGACTGCCAAAAAAAAAAGGACAAGACCATGAAAACTCATCACAGCCAGACGCAATATCCTCAGAGCCTCCCTTTTCTCCTTCACAAATCCCTTAGACACATAAGCTTATAAGGTCATCATGCCTGCATTTTCAGGCTTGGAGTACAGAGGGAGGGCTCAGCTGGTTTCCAGAGTCAGGAGAATAATCAGCTATTTCCGATTTCAAGGCAGTGCTAAGCAACAGCTATAGCTTGTCTGTCCCCCTGTTTCCAAATCAAGCCAATCTTCAAGGACGCTTCAGCTTGCTGCTCTATCATGGGAAAATAAACAAGGACCCATGCCATTCAGGGTCACTGCCAGATCTAGAAACCCAGCAACAAGATACAAAAAGGACCCTGCCTCTTAACCTGGGAAGTTTCCATTGCTGAGCTCTGTCCTAAACTATCCCCTCCAGAGCCATCCGTAAACAAGGCTTCTCTATCTCTCGATCACATAAAGGGGTCTTAGTTGTTATAGGGTATGAGCTTCACGCTTCTGGGATAAGAGCTCTAAAGAAAGAAGAAATTTCAGAGTCAACTAGTCAATCAATGAATATTTATTAAGCACCTACTATGCACCAGGCAGTGTGCTAACCCTTTCACTTGACCAAGGAGGAAACTGAAGCCAAAGGTCACACAGTCAGGAAGCAAGAGGCAGCCTTTGAAGCCAGGCTCTGTGATGTTGGATGGAGGTCCTTTCCCCCATCCTGTAAACTAAGGGGCACGGTCTTGTCCTATCTTGTTTTTGTAGTCCTACACTAGCATATCCATCAACAAAAAGACCTCAGATGTCCTCCAATATGGAAAAGGTATCCAAGTAGGAAGATACTGTTGCAAATGTATGGGTGGCTGGACTTGGAGACTGGAAAACCTGGGTTCAAATCCTCCCCATGCTACAGGCTATGGGAGTCTATTTTTTTAATTTTTTTTTTACTTTTAGGCAATTGGGGTTAAGTGACTTGCCCAGGGTCACACAGCTAGTGTCAAGTGCTTGGTCTGAGGTTGGATTTGAACTCGGGTCCTCCTGACTTCAAGCCCGGCGCTCTATCCACTGCGCCACCTAGCTGCCCTCAGGCTATGGGAGCCTAGCAAAGTCACTTAAGCTTTTTGTGCCCAAGGCAACTCTCTAAGACCTTTAACTGCAAAGAAGATGATAATAGAAGGAGTTTGCTCACCAGAAGTACTTCACATCAATTATACTGAAGGTCTAGTTTGGGGGGGGGAATGGAACATAAAGTGGGGGATCTCCCTCCAACCCCATCAGCATACTTAGTACAGTGGAAAGAGGACTGGAGTTCAGATCCAACCCTGTGACTTCCTACCTTGGGTAAGTCACTTAACCTCTGTGTCTCAGTTTCCTCATCTATAAAATGAGAGGGTTGGGCTAGATAACTCAGAAATCACTTCTTAGATCTTTAACCTCCTTGAAGGCAGGGGACTATTTTTTGTCTCTTTATATCCCCAGCACTTAGCACTGTGCCAGGTATGTAGTAGGCACTTAATAAATATTCATTGAGTGACTGTGACTTTCGAGGAACAGCCATTCATTGAGGGCCTTTCAGTTCAGTTTCCTAGAGTGGGAGAAGAGAAGGCATAAAGAATTATGGGGTCCAAAGGCTTGGGTTCAAATCCTGCCTCTAGTACCTGCATGATCTTGGGCAAATCACTTAACCTTTCTGATCCTTGGGTTCTTCCTCTGTCAAATAAGGGGGTTAGACTCACTGATCTCCGAGGCACCTTCCAAGTCTACACTCATGATCCTATAGTACTGAGAAGAGGAATAAGAGGAGATTTTCATGTGAAACTGGTCCCGCATTTCCATCCTCTCCTTGAACCCACAGGCTCCTGGGAAAAGGCTAGGAATGGGACCAATGGAGGAAACGTATTAAAAGTTTCAGAAATTCCCAAGAATCTTTAAAGCAGATATCCCCATTAATTGCCAAAGGCCTCTTCTAGAGTGAATCTAAAAATTACTTATTACAAATTTATAATTTATTTTATTTGTGTCCCGGCTAGAGCAACTCTTGGCAATTCTGCCTCGCTATTTGTGCTCCTGGATCTCAAGTGCCCAGCTCTGGGGCAGAGGCCTACTTGGAGAATTTAAGCAGCCAGCGTGAGGAGGTAGCCAGCTTCCATTGCAAACAGGGAGGGGACGTGAGGATTTACTGTTATTGCCTGATAATGGTGCCTGCCACAGCATCTTTAGCATGTACCCTGGGAGGGTGGCCATGGAGACAAACTGTTTCTCAACAGAAAGGAAATGATTTGAAGACCTTCAGCTCTCACTGCGAGGGCATCACAGAACACATACCACTGTAAGGATCATCTCGACCCATCCCCTTGTCATTTTGCTGCATAAGCCTCTGCCTTCCAACTTCAAGCCCTGGTCTTTATTATCACTGCGACCACCAATCCCTTCACCCTTCAGTTGCTTCTTAGGCCATCACCCCGGCAGGAGCTACACTCTTCTCCCTTCCCCATCTTGACCCACTGGCGAATCATTTCAACCCTTCATTGTCTTCTTTCAAATCCCTTGTCCTCTTGTCCTATCAAAAATCTTGTCCTGCCCAACCTTAGCCTTAGATCAGTCCCATCATCCCCTGCCTTCATTCCTACTCAGGTGCTGCAAATTGAAGCTAGAAAAAAATCCTGAAAACTGTGCTGCTCGGGTCCCCTACAAATTTATGTTATATCATCTCAACTAGGCCCTTACTGAAGCAAAGCAATCTTTTTTGTAATCCCCTAATTAATTCCCTATCACACTCATCACAGCACCTTGGCCAAACCCTTCCCACCATTTCCTCCCGTGAGAACTTTGCCCACAAAACTGAGGCTCTTTGCCAAGAATTCCCTCTTTATCTCTTTTTCCTTATCACACACATGTGTATCACACATCGTTTAGGTGCCTTCTAGCACTACCTTCTCCTTCATTCTTGTCTCTTGTGAAGAGATGACCCTTGTCCTTGTCAATGCTAATGGCTCTATCTGCCCAAGTGATCTCACTCCATCTATCTTCTCTAGCAGATTCCTCTCTATCACCCCTACTCACTCACTAATCTTCAATCTCTTCCTATTGACTGGTTGCCTCCCTTCTACCCACAAGCATGCCCATGTCCCCCAATCTCAAAAAATCCTCACTTGATCCATCCATTCCTTTTAACTACCATCCTATATCTCTCTTCCCTTTTGTGAGTAAACTCCCTGAAAAGGCTGTCTACACCCGTGCTTCTACCTCTCTCACTCCCTTTTTAACTCTCTACATTCCCAACATTCAATTGAAACTGCTCTTCCCAAAGTTGCCAATGATCTCTTAATTAGCAAATCCACTGACCTTTTCTCAGTCTTCATCCTTCTTGACCTTTGACACTGTTGATCACTCTCTTCTCTTTACATTTTCATGACACTGTTCTCTCCAGGCTCTCCTCCCTATCAGACCTCTCCTCAATCTCCTTTCCTTGATCTCCATCCAGATCTTGCCCACTAACTGTGGGTATGCACTGTGCCCCATTCTCTGTCCCGGACACTCTTCTCTCCTCTCCTTTACTATTTCCCTTGGTGATCTTGTCAACTCCCATAGATTCAGTTATCATCTCTTTTCCCATAGCCACTTGCCTGCTCTAGCTGGATCTCCAGTCTCTTATCTCCAACTGCCTCCAAGACATCTAGAACTGGATGTCACATAGACATCTTAAACTCAACTTGCCCAAAATAGAACTCATTCTCTCTTGCACAAATCTCTCCTCTCTCCCTAATTTTCCTGTCACTGTCAATCAAGGGCACCACCCACTATCTTCTTGGTCACCCAGACCCCAAACCTAGGTATCATCCTTGACTCTCCGCTGTCTCTTACTTCCCATATCCAATCTGTTTCTAAGGCTGGTTGTTCCTATCTTTGTAACATCTCCCAGATGTGCCATTCTCTCCACAGCCACTGTCCTAGAACAGGCCCTCATTGCCCAACACCTGGACTATTGCAATAGCCACCGATTGGTCTCCCTGCCTCGAGCTTCTCCCTGCATCTTCCCTTCAACTGTGAAATTGATCCTCCTAAAGTTGAGATCTGACCATGTCAATTGACCCTGGTCAATACATTGTAGTGGCTCCCTACTGCCTTCAGGATCAAATATAAAATCCTCCTTCTTGGCATCCAAAGCCCTTCATAACCTGCACCTCCATTTTTCCAGTCTTTTATGCCTTATTTATTCCCACATTTTTTTTTTAGTGAGAACAATTGGGGTTAAGTGACTTGCCCAGAGTCACACAGCTAGTGAGTTTTTATGTGTCTGAGGACAGATTTGAACTCAGGTCCTCTTGACTTATTCCCACATATTATTCAATCCAGCGATGCTGGCCTCCTTGCTGTTCCTCCTCCAGGACATTCCATCTCCTGACTCTGGGACAGGAATTCTCTCCATCCTCATCTCCACCTCCTGGCTTCCCTGGCTTGCTTCAAGATGCAGCTAAAATCTCACCCTCTATGATCCTCCTCAATGCTAGATCCTTCCCTCTCTTGCTTATCTCCAATTTATCCTGTCTATGGCCTTTCTGTATGCTGCTGTCTGCATGTTGTCTCTTTCATTAGACTGTGAGTTCCTTGAAGGGCAGGGACTGGTTTTTGCTTTTCTTTGTATCCCCAGTGCTTAACACAATACTTGGCACATAGTAGGGGAAAGAAACAAGCATTTATTATGCACCTACTATGTGCCAGGCACTATGCTAAGCACTTTATGAATATTATCTCCTTTGATACTAGAGGGTGCTTAATAAATGCCTGTTAACTCATTGAATTTCATCTTTTTGTCCCTGGTTCCAGGCACAAAGTAGGTACACAATAAATATTTGCTGAACTGAAATGAACTGTGGCCTTGGATGCTTTAATCCTAAAGGAATCATATCCTGGACATTGCAAGTTTCTCTGGGCAACGTGGCAACTATCTGGAGTTGAGGGAGCCAGCTTTCCCAGACTGCTCCCCATGACTCATTCCAGCCCTACATCGTCCATACACCTTCCATTTTAAAAACAAACAGAACCAAGAATCAGAGGACTTAGGATTATATTTTGGCTTCTTCTATGAAAAACCTTCCAACAACTTACTAGGAAAGGAGAAAGAAGAAAGCCCCGGGAGAATTTGAGACAAAGGTCAAGGTGCGCCAGTCCCTGATGCAGTACCCTAACACAGCATAGAATGCGATTCCAACCGCAAATGTCATGTTGGCCAATGAACCTGAAAATGAAATAAAATGAAAACAATGAACCCTAAACTCATCTTAAAATACTGGAAGAAAGCTACATGAAGAGGCAATAAGGCCTTTGTGTGAAAACAAAAAACCAGGAACAAAGTAGACGCCCATCTATTGGAAAATGGCTGAACAAATTTTGGTGCATGAACATAATGGAATTGAATTGCACCTTGAGAGCCTTGCAACACAAAGCACTGAGCCAGATGACCTTTGCTGTCCCTTCTAGCTCTAAATCTGTGATCCCCTGAATTCAGAAGAGTGTAGGAGGGCCTGTATGAACTGGCATAGAGCAAAGTAAACAGAAGCAGAACATACACAGTGACTAGCATCAATGAAAGTAACAGCAGCTAAACTCTGCAAAATTGGACAGACTAGTCTCAGCCCATGGAGACAGACGCCCTTCCCTCCTTCTTCTCCGACACAGTGGCTGTGTTAGCCCGGCTAGTCATCCAATTTCTCAGCATCACAGGGAGGACTATAAGACCAACACTATACACTGTAGAACAGTTACTGATTTGTGTCTACAAAGAGAGATTCTTCACCAGGACTTTGCTAGACCATTGAAATCAAAGGTCTGATTAAAAAGCATCTAGAATTGGCCTCATACTAACAAAATCATAATGAGAAGCCAGAGACAGCAGATGCAGAAAGTGTGAGAGAGAGAGAGAGAGAGAGAGAGGAGAGAGGAGAGAGAGAGAGGAGAGAGAGAAAGGAGAAAGAGAGAGAGAAGAGAGAGAGAGAGAAAGGAGAGAGAGAGGAGAGAGAGAGAGGAGAGAGGAGAGAGAGAGAGAGGAGAGAGGAGAGAGAGAGAGTTTATTAAGCATTTATTATGGACCAAGCACTGTCAGACACAGTAGCTATGTTGGTTACATCTGCTTAACTATTTTTTTCTATATTATAAGGAAGGTTCAGTGGTGAGGAGGAGGATATAACAGGAAGAGAATATGATATTTACAAAAGGCACCAATAAAACAAATAGAAAATACAAGGACTAAAATATAATCAGAAATAAATGGCTCTTTTAAACTGAGTGTACTTATTTGGGGAGGAATAGATTCACAGGATCATGGCTGAAAGTGTCCTTAGGGATGATCTAATACAACTCCTTCATTTTGCAGATGAAGAAACTGAGGCTAAGGGAATTAAGCGGCTGCTTGCTCAAGCTCACAGTGGGTTCCTGCCATGGTCACACAGCCTATGGCCTTGGATGAAAGTGCTCAGAGCCTAGCACAGGACTAGCACCCAGCAGGGGTTTAATCAGTGTTCATTGAACTGAATTGCTTAAAGGCAGCATCTAAGAAGTCCACTTATGGCCCAAGACAAGCCGCTTTCCCTCTAAGACAGGGATTATTACAAATGCCTGCTCTGACCTCATGGGGATCGAGGGAGAATACATGTCTGCACCCTTGCTCTGAGGCCATTCATCAGCCCTCACTATGATTTATTCTTCTTACACAAAACCCAGAAATCAGCCATGCCCTACAGTTTTTCTTAGGGGAAGCCATGAGGATTTGATTTTGTGCTTTTATTGTTCTAGATTTTATGAGCTTCATGGGATATTAATTTGCTGCTCTGTGGGAGGTTCAGGCAGAGAGAAGGGCAAAGGACTCAGAGAGAAGACTCAGAGCAGGAAGAGTCACGTGAGCAGAAGAGGCAGAAAAGGAGAAAAGAAAGGACACCTCAATTACCTTGCAAGGTTATTAGCCCAGCCAGAAGCCTTAACTCAACGGAAGGATGCTTTAAATTAGCTGCTGAAGACAAGCAATGCACTGAAAAGAAAAGAAAAAAAAAAAGCTCCCTTCCCAGGCCAGAGCAAACCAGGGCTCTGTATGGAGGGATTAAGCAAAAGAAATCAATCATGTGCATCATTAAAAAAAATGAAGCCTTGGCGATCCCAAAGAGCAAAATGGTCCTCATGATTGGAAAGGAAGAGGATGTGTTATTAGCTCAGCGGGTAAGAGCTCATTGTTAAGGGAAGGAAATATGGGCCTCTCTAAGGGGCACGATGGTTCTGAGCAAGGCTTTTTTTTTCCTTCCTAATAATACTAGTATTTATATAGTGCTTCAGAGTTTCCAAATACCTTACCTCATCGGATCCTTACAACGACCCTGTGAGGTAGGTCCCTATTTGACAGATGAGAGTGGGTAAGTGAGTGAAGAGGGTGGGATTTGAACTAAGTCTTCCTGACTCCAAGTCCTGCTGACTGTCGATGGCACCGCCCACAAAAAGATGCGATGCCCGAGGTTTCTGAGTACTTGTCCCAGGCCTCCAGACAGCCTCCTCCGGGACCAGCTTCAGCCTCAGCATCTATAATGAGGGAAGGCTGCATCCTGTCACGCACCATTCATCTTGTGCCTTCAGACTTAGACTGAAAGTAAATGGGGTGTCTTTTCAGAGCTATGTTTTGGGGCGGATGCTTCCCTGTGGTATAGAGTTGACCCGTAGCTCCCCAAGGTGAGGCCTGCAAAGTGAGCACTGTCTTAGGTGCTCCTCAGGCACTGAGCCACAGACAGAAGGGCCGTTATCCAAGGACCAGCTCAGGTACGTGCACAGTCTTACCTCCAGGAGACTAGTTGCCGTCTGCAAAAGAATTTTATCAGCTTCTAAAGTGATGAGGATGGATCTGCATCAGTGGGGTGAAATCTTTAGCTCTGTTCCCGAAGCATTGATTAGCAGCCTACTGGGAGCTGCCTTCAGGTGCTGTGTCCTATATACGCACAAATATCCTAAGACCTCCTTTTCCTCCCTCTTGCTCTATCTTTCTCCATTTTTCTTTAGTCTTCCCAGGATGTCCCCTGAAATCAGCCATCCATTCCTTCTATTCACTTAGTGGATAGCATGCTAGGCCTGGAGTCAAATCCTGCCTCAGATACTTACTAGCCTTGAGGCTCTGACCAAGTCATCTGAGCTCTCTGAGTTTCCTCTCTCAGTTTATGTGATGGGGATAACAATGCCAGTTATTTCACAGGCTTGTTGTAAGGGTCACATGAGATAATACAGGCAGAGTCCTTGGCAAGCCTTAAAGTCTATCAGTGTTAGCTATATCATCAGCTATTCTTCAATATCTACCACCTCTGACATGTTCTTATAATTTGAGCATCTTGGGAGTGCAAATGGATGCACCACTCAGGTGGTCTCTCATTCCAGACCTCCATGTCCTCCATAATGGTCTTTTCTGCCAGTTCTTTGTACGCAAATCTCCCTCTGTCCTGGATTCTGAAGTACTCCCAGGATAATCTTCTTGACTTGGAAAGTTGAATAAAAATCCATCTTTAACTTCTCTTTAATGAATGAATGAATGAACAAGTGAATGAATGAATAAATGAAAAATCATTCATTGAGCATTTGCTATGTTCCAAGCACTTTGCTGAGGGGTGGGGATAAAACAAACAAACAAAATAGTCCCTGATCTCAAGGAACTAACATCCTACTAAGGGAAGACAACAAATAGAGGAGAGCGTTGGCCAAGGAGGCATGGTTTGGCCTGGGAAGTCACAGGATCCATGAGGATAGTCACAGAACAATTGTTTAATGTGCCCTATTGATAAGGATGAGATCTGAACCCCTAAAAGGAAAAGACCATGTCTTTGGGATCTGTACGCCAAAAAAGAAAATCCCTGGATTTTTCCCAAAATCCACGGCATTTGCATTTGCCTGAGGCTGTAATCCACTCAACTGGCCTTTCCACATGGCTACACCCAATCTCCCAATTCCATTCTATTGCCTTCCAATTGCCCTTGGCCACTTCCCACCCTTAATCCTATCTCGACTCCATTCTCCCTTAGCCATGTGGTCCTGTTCTGTTCTGTTCACCCCAGCTTACTGGCCACTCCCATCCAGATCTTCCTTAGACCCCCTCCTCCAGTCACTCCAAACTACTTGGCCACTCCTAGATCCCTCCCACAGTCTTTCTGTATATAAGGTCCATCTTGTCTCTATTAAGGTGCTCAGATTCTTAAGAGTCTAGCCAAAGGCTCAGATCTTTAGAATCTAGCCAATAGCTCACAAATGGTCAGATTTCTTAAGAGTCTGGCCAATATGGTGGATCTTTAATAAACCTTGTCTTTGACTGAAAGAAGGCCTGGTTGGAATTCATTCAGGCAAGACCCGTTGTGATTTTGGGGTCCTAGCACCCCTAAACCTCTAGACCTCAATATATCTAGACCTTAACACTATCACCCAGCTACTCAATAAAAGGTAACACTCTTTTCCTCTTCTTACCTGTTAGTGCCCAAAATGATTTCCCTACATATTCTTGTGTCAAGACAAAAGATACTAAAGCCGTTCCACCATTCATAATTCCAACACCTAGGCGTGACATCGCAAAGATTCGGTAACTTGGAGCAAATGCTGAGATATAGCCCAAAATGACATCAAAAAAGAGACCTGCAAAGACAAAAAAAAAAAAAATCCCCAACATATATTATACAAATCTTGTTAGAACAGCCCTGCCCAAAAAACTAACATAACGCAGGATAAGTAGTAGGTTGGATAATGTATTATCATCCCCATTTTATAGATGAGGAAACCAAGGCTGAGAAGTTGAATGATTCGACTGTGATCACACAGATCAAGAGTGGGAGAGGCCTCAGCTGTCATTCAAATCAATCTTTTCATTTTATAGTTGAGGAAACTGTGAGAGGGCTGAGGATATAAAGTAAAAAATAAATAACTGTTCCTTCCCTCAGGGAGCTTACATTCTACAGAAAATTGCCAGTCCAGTTCTCTCAATTTGCTAGGTGACACCGTCTCACAGGTAAAACTTTGGTGTCATGGTATTATAAGATTACTGCCTCACAGGCAAGATGATAGAGTTAAAAATCTTAGATTTAGAATTAAAAGGGATGTTAAAGATCATTCAATCCAACCCTCTAACTTTACAGATGAGAAAACTGAGGCAGAGAGGCAAATTGACTGGCTCGAGACCGCATGGACAGGAAGTGTCAAAGTTGAGATCTGAATCCAGGACCTCTAGCTTAGATACAGCATTCTACCTCTTCTCTCTGAAATTCTTGTTAAGGCCCTTCGGTCTCCTCTTTTATCTCCTGATTCTTGTTGTGTTGGCTCAAAAAAATCTCCTTTTTTCCCCTCTCTATTCCATGGATGAGCCCCCCAAACTGCCCTAATTGTGACTGAGAAGCATAAAAGTTGCACCAATGACCCATGTGCACCAAAGAAAAGGAAAAGCAGCCATTTTCAAGCACGTGACGAGAGCCCTCCATTTCCAAAGCCGTGGCGGGCATCCGAGGTCCTCTTCAGCATCTCCACAAGTCTCCACCCACCTCTTGATCATCTGCTAATTATGCCTGCCCATTCTGAAGCACCACTATTCACTCAATGAAGAAAGTTCGCACTCATTTCCAGGTTCTATGATAGGTTCTGGGGACACAAAGAAAAAAAGGAAACCAGCCTGCCTTCAAGGAACTTCTGCCCTGTTTATGTACCTACACAAACAAATAATGCAAAAAATGGACCAGACACGTACAAAGTAATGAGGGGAGAAGGATGTGTGGTACTAACACCTGAGAGAGTCAGAAAGGATCTCTTGTGGAGTAGGAAGTGCATTGAAATTCAGCTTTAAATGGAACCTAAGAGTCTAAGAGGCACAAGAGAGGAAGGAGGGCACCCTAACCATGGGGCACGGTCTGTAACCGAGGCACAGAAGTGGGAGATAAAATGCCATGGACAAGGTTCCACTGTGGCTGGAACACAGAGTATATGAGAGGGAGTGATAGGAAACTGGGCCAGGTTGTTAAGCGTTTCAAATGCCAGACAGAAGAGTCTGTATGTTTTTCCAGAGGCAATGGGGAGCTCTCATTCTAATGGTGGGGGACCCCATGGTAATTACTAGGGGCACACAAGATACATACAGAATAGGAGGGAGGAAGGCACTAGCAGCTGAGGGGAGGACCACCTCAGAAGATGGGCTTTAAGCTGAATCTGCAAGGAAGCCAGGGAAGCTAAAAGCTAGAAGTGATTGAGCAAGAGCGTTCCAGGCATGGAGAGGGCAGATGCAAAGACGCAGAGACCTAAGCTAGAGCATTGTTTGCAAGGAACTACATGTAGGCCAGATGCCAAAGGTGTGGAGGGGAGGAAGAATAAGAATTTGAAAAAGCAGGAAGGGGCCAGGTTGCAAAGGGCTTTAAATACCAAATAAAGAATTCCATATTTGATCTTGGATGTAATAGGGAGCCAATGGACTTTATTGACTAGGGAGAGTGACATGGTCAGACCTACACCTTAAGAAAATCCCTTAACAGCTAAGCGGAGAATAGATGGTGGTGGGGAGGGAGACACTTGAGGAAGAGAAACTAACCAGAAGCTCAAGGAGCAAGGGAATGACAAGGTCAGAATGGGCAGCTGTGTGGAGGATGGATTGGAGGGAAGAGAAACTGGAGGCAGGGAGGCCAAATAGGAGACCATTGCCATAGCCCAGGTCAGAGATAATACGGGCTTGAACTAAGTCGGAGATTGGGGGACTGGAGAAAAGAGAACAAGTACATTTAAAAGAACATGAAAACCTTTTTTTAAAATTTTATTTTATTTAATTACTGGTACAGGTCTCCATTAAATGAACGAGTTAGCCTAGATAACCTGAAGGTCTCTTTCATCTTTGAATCTATGATTTTGTTGCAACAGTTATTTTCTGTCATTTTGAACATTTGATGTAGCCTACAGATGGTGGACTTCTGACCAGAGAAACCTGTGCCCTTTAATCTCTTACTGGGGCTACGCTGTTCCCCACACCTCTGGGTGGCCTTGTTGGCATGTTATCCACAACAGGACAGACCTCTGACCTCCTTTGGGGGGTACTTCAGAATCAGCAGGCCTAATTAGAGTGCCAACTGACATGATTCCACACTAAGGCTTGCTGACTGACCCCCTCGGTGCCCTTTGACCAGTTCGCCTGACCTTCCCACTCCTCTAAGAGCCACCTATATCTCACTTTGACTGCCCAGTGTAGAGATCAAAATCTGTACTTCTGCTCACCCAGGAGTATCAGACACATGTACAATAGCAAAACATTGAAATAAAGGCATTTTATAGAAAGAGAATTGGTGGGGGTGGGGGTGAGGGGAAGCAGTGCTGAAACAAGCATAAAAGCACATATGTGATGTCATATGGCATAGTCGATAGAGCGCTGAACTTGAAGTCAGGAAAAACTGGGTTCAAATCCTGCCTCAGTCAGTAAGTAAGAAAGGGGCCACAAATCCTACCTCAGATACTTGTTTGCTCTGTGATCATGGGTAAGCCACTTATCCTATCTGAGTCTCAGTTTCCCCATTTATAAAATGGGAATAATAGTATCTATAATACCTGTGGTGAGGCTGAAATAACATAATGCATGCAAATTGCTTTCCAAGCTTTTAAAAAATATAGAAATGTCTGTTATTATATTTGTGATTGTTTTCTCATTTCCCTTCCAACGGAGTATAAGCTGCTTGAGGCCACAGCCTGTTTTCCATTTTTCTCTGTATCTCTAGCACTAGTGGAGTGCCTTTCATGTAATAACTACTTAATCAACGTTTTTAGGACTGATTTGAATTGACTCCCTCTACTTTTCCTTGCTATATGGTAAATAAGCTCCATTGTGGGTTTAACAGTTACATAGGCTAGCCTGGGAACCTAACTGCCACTTGTAATCATGCTTCCATAGGAAATGTGTGTTTCCCAGTTCCATGGAACTACCTTTACAAGTCACCTTGGAGAACACAAACTATTGGTAACTTGAGGACTCCCTATCCAACTTTGTTCTCTGAATTGCAAAATCATGAGCCATGGTGAGACACAATAGTATTAAAATGCTCCCCCTTTTTTTACACTGTAAAAAAAAACACATTATTAAATACCTTTTTCAAGAAAAAGATTAAATGATTTTCATAGGAAATGAAATGATGCTGTGAAATCAGGTTGACATACCTCTTATATCACGCATTTCAATTCAAGGAAGTAGATGCCCAAGGTTTGGCTTACCACTCAATGCTTCCATTACAACTATCTCTTTGTGTTATATTCACATGTAAAGCAGTTACATGGATTGAACCCTAAGTGCCTCAATCACCCCATATATTTCATACCTTCACAGGCCTATGGTTTCATTATTATGGGCATGGTCTTTATTCAATGACAATCATTAATGGAAACACGGCAGCTAGGCATAAAGAGATGACAGTCCCTCAGTCTATACTCCTCTCACACTAGACCTGGAATATTGTATTCATTTGAGGAGGGATGTTGACCAACCAGCAAATGTTCACGGCTAGGTAAACAGAATGGTGAAGAGCCCTGAATTGATGCTATATGAATGAATGTAAAAGCATTCCTAAATTTTAATTAATTAATAATAAAAGCATTTATTACTATGAATGAGAGAGCTCCTGCCCTTAGGGAGCTTATGTTTCTAATAAGAGGAGGCAGCATATAAGGGAAAATGGTGGCCAGGAAAAGGAATGTCATGGAAGTCACAGGGATGGTGAGTTGATCCAGAGAGTAGTCAACAGATACACCCTTCCAGGAGCAATTGATATGTTTACTGTGCCTTGAGCCAAAGGTCGAAAGGTGTGTGCAGGGGTGGGGATGGAGGAGAGGACTGGTTGAAAGGTCTAGGAAGATTTGGCCTGTAGTAGAAAAGGCTGGAGGAGGTGGGGAAATGGACAGCATAACTGTCTTCAAATATTCAAAGCCTCGGAGGGTAGAACCAGAAGCAAATGGTAGACTTTGAACAGTGGCAGATTTGGAGTTGATAGAATAATTAGAGCTATCCCAAAGTGGTATGATAGACAAGGAGCCCTGTGACCTGTTCCTGATCCTATGTAACAGCCGCTACCAACACAGCTGCTGTCAGACCATCACTCAGCCCGTGTGCCATGTGCACCATCCAACCCCAGAAGTCACTCTGGAGTAAGCCACAGAGCCTCCTCTGCTTCTCTCAGGCTCTCAGAGAGTTTTCTGTCACCCACTTCTTGCTCCAAGCCCTTATCAGTACTATTCTTTCCTTAGTTTGAAGATTGGTGTGGATCATCTAATCAGATCAAGAATTTCACTCTCCCATATTGTTTAAAAAACTCCTCCCTTTCATCCTATTCTCTGTTGTTTCCTAATTACTCAAGCCTCCACGTATAGTAAGAAAAAATAGTTAACAACATTAATAGAAGTATAATGAAACAGCAGCGTTGACCAGGCTTAACTTTAGCCCATTGAAATACAGCAATTGTATTTAATCCCTACCCAAGCCCTGTTGGTCTGTCCAATCCCCCAAGCATAGATTGGAAAGCATGAAGAGGCTCCACATGTTGGAATACTCCCTAGCCTTCCACCCACTCATCACAGAAGACATGGCGCCCACGCTGTCTGGGAATCCCTTTATTTTAAGCACAGGAGCCCTG